CCTTGTTCCTAGTACAGTCGTGTGCCTTGTTCCTAGTACAGTCGTGAGCCTTGTTCCTAGTACAGTCGTGTGCCCTCACGAAGGACAACTCTCCCACGAATAGCCATCTGTTAGTGTGCTTAGTTTACACCCAGTCTGAGGGTCCCTTCCTAGGAATACTGTCGTTTTACAAATCTAACTGGTCATCATACACCACTCCTATACGCCCCCTCCTCTTGACCCTTCGTAACCACACTAACCCATGACAACAACTCCTCCACACTAACCCATGAGAGCAACTGAGTCTCCCCTACACTAACCCATGAGGGCAACTGAATCTCCCCTACACTAACCCTTGAGTGCAACTGACTCTCCCCTACACTAACCCATTAGAGCCACTGAATCTCCCCTGCACTAACCCATGAGAGCAACCGAGTCTCCTCTACACTAACCCATGAGGGCAACTGAGTCTCCTCTACACTAACCCATAAGTGCAACTGAATCTCCCCTACACTAACCCATGAGAGCCACTGAATCTCCCATGCACTAACACATGAGAGCAACTGAGTCTCCCCTACACTAACCCATGAGGGCAACTGAGTCTCCCCTACACTAACCCATGAGGGCAACTGAATCTCCCCTACACTAACCCATGAGAGCAACTGAGTCTCCTCTACACTAACCCATAAGAGCAACTGAGTCTCCCCTACACTAACCCATGAGGGCAACTGAATCTCCCCTACACTAACCCATGAGGGCAACTGAATCTCCCCTACACTAACCCATGAGTGCAACTGAATCTCCCCTACACTAACCCGTGAGGGCAACTGAATCTCCCCTACACTAACCCATGAGTGCAACTGAATCTCCCCTACACTAACCCATGAGAGCAACTGAGTCTCCCCTACACTAATCCATGAGGGCAACTGAATCTCCCCTACACTAACCCATGAGGGCAACTGAATCTCCCCTACACTAACCCATGAGGGCAACTGAATCTCCCCTACACTAACCCACGAGTGCAACTGAATCTCCCCTACACTAACCCGTGAGGGCAACTGAATCTCCCCTACACGAACCCATTATTGCAACTGAATCTCCCCTACACTAACACACGAGGGCAACTGACTCTTCCCTACACTAACCCATGAGAGCCACTGAGTCTCCCCTGCACTAACCTATAAGAGCCACTGAGTCTCCCCTACACTAACCCTTGAGAGCAACTGACTCTCCCCAGCACTAACCCATGAGAGCAACTGACTCTCCCCAGCACTAACCCATGAGAGCAACTGACTTTCCCCAGCACTAACCCATGACAGCAACTGAGTCTCCCCTAGCCCAATGGTCATCAAGCAAACACCTGAAATTCTCACTGTGACTGCTGTTTGCTACTGCTAGCTGATATCTATGACTTGTCATAGTTACGAAACAACAATATTTATCTTCTGCTTGCTATAGTAAACGACCCGTTTCCGCGCCTGGTGGCGTGTAGGGCATATAAGGCTATACCTATATTTTTATAGACCAATCAGCACAAGATGGGTGATGTGGTCAGCATCAAGCTGGCCGCCTTTACTTCCAGGGACTGCGCCTGGTATCCACTCAAGACTGGGTCGACCTGGGGAAAAAGTCCGGCTCCGCCAGGCAGCGAACCTGCGACTTTCCGATCCGTGGCGAGCGTCTAGCCTCTCGGCCACGGCGACTCGCTTTTTATCGAATGTCTGTTTTCCCATGTTTCATGAAACTATTGTGTTGACTGTCTCCCTGTACTCTCGATGGTGACACAGATGTTATATGATGATGATGAACGATGGTTATATAACATAACTGTTGCCTTTTTTGTTCCCACACAGACAAATCTGCGAGACAGTTTGAGTGGATAAATCGCGCAAACAATGGCCATAATGAAACTCTGCATCGTCCTATTAGTTCTGGCCCTCACAATTGTGGTCCACGCTTACGATTACGAGCGTCTTGTCAAAGACTTCTGCCTGAGTCAGAAATACCAGGAATGTCTCACGAACCCCTTCGCTGCAGCGACCCCAGATTTCTGCGACGACTTTGAGGAAGCTTGCAAAAAAATTTTAAACGGCGACTAGATCCCACATAGGGAAAACGGAGATGCCAACATCTAACGGGTTCAGAACTGACATCAATCCTCTCAGGAAATTTGTATATAGGCAACAGTCTCCTTTTAGTACCGGCCATTGTATTCCTCTGCTATTGGGAGCCATGGCAACTCAATATAAAGTTATTCTACCTTTCTTGTATGAATAAAATGTTCCGTGGCACGCATCCACTGCTGAAGCAGTCGCCGCAGTTATGTTCTGTCTGCTCCACTGCTCTACGCACATGTTCCCAGACAGCTTTTACCCCACTCTCATCATCGAAGAGCAAATGCCAACCAACAGGAGTGGCAGCTGCTGTTCTATCACTGTATGCATATCCTCGCACACCCGCAGCAAAACCCAACATGTGAAAGATATGCACACGCGCAGCAGGTCAGTATCTCTTCGTCGGAGCAAGATCTACAAATCCTTGACAGACACTGTGTTGTTGGCTAATCAGCCCTTTAGCCATCATGAAGTTGCTTTTACCGCCTCCACCTCTATTCTCATACTGGATGTTATATCAACAACGCCAGGCCTAGCCGTAGACGCTAATGTTTTC